TAGGTTAGATTAGGTTAAGTCAGCGTTAGGTTAGGTTAAGTTAGGTTAGGTTAAGTTAGGTTTGATTAGGTTAAGTTAGCGTTAGGTTAGGTTAAGTCAGCGTTAGGTTAGGCTAGTTAGGGTTAGGTTAGTTGCTAGCGTTAGGTTGTGTTGTCAGCTGCTAGGTTAGGTTGCTAGGGTTTGATTAGGTTAAGTTAGCGTTAGGTTAGGTTAAGTCAGCGTTAGGTTAGGCTAAGTTAGTTTGTTGTCAGCGTTAGGTTAGGTTAAGCCACGTTGGGTTAGGTAGTTAGGTTTGATTAGGTTAAGTTAGCGTTAGGTTAGTTAGGCAGGCGAATATTTGCATAACTGAAGCTTAATACAACCATGTTTCATGCTGCCAGCCTTGTGTGTGTGTTTTGTTTTGCAACCTTGTGTGTGTGTGTGTGTGTGTGTGTGTGTGTGTGTGTGTGTGTGTGTGTGTTTTATGATGGTAACCTTGTGTGAATTTATTTTCCGGTTAAATATTTAATCACTACTTTTAAAACCTTCCACACACCACAAAGGTAAAAGTATTCTCAAACTATAAACATTACGAGTTAAATAAGTCACTCACTTTATATGTTAGTTTAAACATCTGTACTTCAGTTGATTTATATTAAAAATTTATATATATTTTTATCACGGTATTAGGGTTCGTATAGTGAAGATTCATATACCGTTAAAATATTCGATGATTCGTAACTTAAATATTCTCCCTCAATGATTCGTATATTGAGGCAAATATTGAAGCTTATGTGAGACAGTTGAGTCGAAGCTTAGGAGTCAAGACTTACAGCTTTAGTGCAAAAAATGGTGCGGTGAGGTGAGGTGGTAAGGGTGTGGTGATGGTGTGGTGTAGTGGTGATGGTGTGGTGTAGTGGTGATGGTGTGGTGTAGTGGTGATGGTGTGGTGATGTGGTGATGGTGTGGTGTAGTGGTAATGGTGATGGTGTGTTGTAGTGGTGATGGTGTGGTGATGTGGTGATGGTGTGGTGTAGTGGTAATGGTGTGGTGTAGTGGTGATGGTGTGGTGTAGTGGTGATAGTGTGTTGATGGTGATGGTGAGGTGATGGTGTGGTGGTGGTGTGGTAGGAAGGAGGAGGACAGGAGGTGCCCGGGGCCTCTCTCTCAAAACCTCATCGTCACGCGACATCACTTACTACTTCTGCTCCACACCCGTCACCACACCGTCACCACACCACAACCGTCACACCACCACTACACTACACCATCACCACACCACACACCATAACCGTCATCACACCATCACCACACACCACACCCGTCATCACATATCCAATACAATATCACTGAATTTCAATATATATTTTCCTCTCCTAATGGGCATACTGGGAGAAGCAGACACACTGGGACAAGCAGACACACTGGGACAAGCAGACACACTGGGAGAAGCAGACACACTGGGACAAGCAGACACACTGGGACAAGCAGACACACTGGGGCAAGCAGACACACTGGAAGCAGACACACTGGAGAAGCAGACACACTGGGGCAAGCAGACACACTGGGACAAGCAGACACACTGGGACAAGCAGACACACTGGGACAAGCAGACACACTGGGGCAAGCAGACACACTGGGGCAAGCAGACACACTGGGACATATGTTGAAGCTATTGGTGACCTGTGAGACGCTCTCCATTCAGTGGAAAGTCCGTTATATCGATGGATTCAGGGATACTAGATAGATGTTCTCTATGATGAATCAGGAAATAAGAAAATCAGGAGATTGTCACATCACTATACAGTAGAATCCTTATAAAATGCTCAATGATCCTCAGCCATAAATTCTAACTCATTCTTATTATCTTGATCTTCAGTTCTTTTACTTGGCTCTTTTAAAAGGCCTGTAATCTGTAGGGCCATTTATTACAGTAAGTCTTTTATGGTAACGCTGGGCTTCTGGGTTTAATAAATTGAATCACCTCAAGTATTCCCATCCTAGTTTATTACACCTGAAGATTAACCATCGTAATATTAACCTAACCTAACCCTCGTAATACTAACCTAACCTAACCTAACCCTCGTAATACTAACCTAACCTGACCCTCGTAATACTAACCTAACGAAACCTAACTTAACGTAGCGTAAGGTATCGTAATGTAACCTAACCATCGTAATATTAACCTAACCTAACCTTAACAATAACTTAACCTAACGTAACGTAATGTAACCTACCACTAACCAAACCTAACACTAACCTAACCTAACCTAACCTAGCATAAGCTTACTGTAAGTCGATGACAAGATCACACGTCCAGTAGATGCAAACGTTTGTCTGGGATCACCGGACGATTAGACCCCCAGCGTATTTCACCTTACGATTAACTAACTACTTTACCGCACTAACCTAACTTAATCCAACATAAGCTAACGCTGACCTACCATAAGAACATAAGAACATAAGAAAATAAGGAGTCTGCAATAGGCCGGTTGGCCTGTGCATGGCAGCTCCTGTCGAGAGTTACTACCACTCTCTATCATCCATGAATCTATCTAGCCTCCTTTTGAAACTTTCCAGAGTTCCAGCACTTACTACAAAGTTGCTAAGCTTGTTCCACTCGTCCACCACCCTATTTGTGAACCAGTTTCTTCCTATCTCCCTCCTAAACCTACACTTATCCAACTTGAATCCGTTGCTCCGAGTCCTATCCTGCTCGGATATTATAAGAACTCTATCTATATCCCCTTTATTGATTCCTTTCACCCACTTAAATACCTTAACCTTACGTAAAGTGAACCTAATTTAACCTAATCGAATCTATAATCTAACCTCGGTCACATAAACTGACGGAGCTTTTAAAATGTCATTAATGTTGCAGGTGTGACACAGGTAGTATGGTGCAGGTGTGACACAAGTAGTGTGGTGCAGGTGTGACACAGGTAGTAGTGGGGGCCGGGGGCGGTAGGTGGTCCTCCCCCCGCAGGCCCCGGCGGAGGACATGTCTAATCCCAGCAGGGTATAATAGAGGTAAGTTATTGACCATTACCCAGTCTCCGCCTCGTCTGGGGTAACCATTCCCAATTTCCTATGACTCGCACATTGTGACAAACACATGGCCGACGTGCTGGGGTGGGGGGGGGTTATGTGAGCAGGAAGCAGAGGACAGGTGAGTGCAGGTGAGGCAAGTGGAGGGCTAGGAGTGGTGAGTGGAGGTGGAGCAACATAAGTGAGCCACTCAACCAGGTCAGTAAGATGGTGATGATCACAGCCCAACACACGGGCTACCACCTCAGTAGACTGTTGAACCATGAAGTGATATAGAGTTCAATATCACACTTATTAACCGCTGGGTTATTTTTTTTTTCAGGTGTGTCGAGGCGTGAGTGGGAACGACGCTGTGGTTATCGTGTTCGGCGGGGAACAGTATACTAACACCCGCCTCAGCTAGTGGAAGGAAACAGGTAGTAAATCTTCCTGTAGGAGTGTTAGGTGTATGTTAATAGTTATGTACTGTACTGGTGACTTACATGTTATAGAGGACGTGTGTGTGTGTGTGTGTGTGTGTGTGTGTGTGTGTGTGTGTGTGTGTGTGTGTGTGTGTGTGTGTGTGTGTGTGTGGCCCCGGGTCCTAGTGACAGGTGCTACCACTACTGATTATCCCAGACGTTACCTGTCTATACCACTAACTATATCCTCCCGCCCTGCTACTAACTACCACCACTACCACCATTACCACAACTGCCACCACTATCACCATTATCACCGTCACCATTACCATCTACCACACTCACCACCACTACCACCAATACCACTACTACCCACTACCTTCTGCCACCACCATCACTATTACCACCAATACCATCTACTACCACCATCACTATTACCACCACTATCATCTACCACCACTACCATCTACCACCACCATTACCATCACCATTACTACCAGTACCCTCTACAACTACTACCACCACTACCCTTTACCACCACTACTACCACCACCACCACCACCCACTACTATCTACCACCATTACCACTACCATCTACCACCATCCTCACACCACCACTTCACTTTAGGAACCCAGCCAACAGTCTCCGGCGGTGGCCATTGCGGGCATGCACGTCGCCCGACCGGATGCGTTACACAAACAGCGATAAAGCAGGAACAGTAACACCGACATTTAAACCGCGTCACCCTTCCTGGTTAAGCAATGTGACATACGTAACAGTAACAAGGCTGTCTTCTGACTGTTGATACGCGTAAACGACCCGATTCAATAATCCGATTAAGGTGGGTGCATCTCAAGGTCTGTTATACAGTAGGTGCTGGGTGTAAGGTAACGTCGGGCGCTGTTTAGTGCTCGCGCTGGCAAGGTTATGATTTCTTTTTGGGAGGCGTTAAACTGCTGTTAAGTCAGGTAAGGTTTGTCTTTACCTACACCTGCACTACACCACAACCTGACACCATCAAAGCTCAAGTGTTTACGTTTGGATTGATAACATCGACGGAACGCTCGTGGTAATGAGATGCTGGCGGAACGTTAGCACCGTCCTGAGAGAACGTTAGCACCGTCCTGAGAGAACGTGAGCACCGTTCGAGTCAGTGTATAAAGTGAAGCCAAGTAGACCTCCTGGCAACACTGGCCAGGTGGGACACACAGTACAGCAGTAACCTGATAACACCACTATCTATACTGTTATTATCACTCCTGGCTCTCGTGTTGTGAGTCTGGGTCGGGCAATGGTTGGGTATCCGTCCTCAACAATCTAAAACTTGAATAAACCTTAACAACCTGTTCCTCGACGCTGTGTTTCATATTTATTCACTTTCTGTTGATTCAGATTCTGTACGCTTTAATTATTATTATTTTTATTATTATTATTACAGGTAATATTGCCAGACGCACATTAGCACACAAAACACTCATAATAGAGAGCGGGACACACGCAGGCAGACACACGTGAAGAGGCAGACAAGAAAGTTCAAGAGACAGCAGCTTGGACACACACACCACACTCACCTGAGGCCATTAACGAAGAACTTCTCGGTGATGTAGTCGCGGCAGTTGGAGTTCTCGAAGGCAAGGTAGAACTTGTAGTCTTTGTTGAGCATTTCAAAACACTTGGCGGAGTTGGACCTTGGACAGCGTTTAGTGCCACAGGCGCCGAAGATGTCCACGCCTATATATTTGCCCAGCTCCTTCGCGTACTGCAGGCGATTGTTGCGAGCGCCGCAGTTTTGAACACGAACCACGCCACCTGTTTGGTCTTGTTGGCGGCGTAGTTGATCTCCTGCGACTTCTGGTGAATAGTGTTGTCGTAGTAGACCCACTTCTCGTACGGCGCCACAATGTCGGAGTCGTGGCGGTAGGTGGCAGTCCAGTTGAAGACGTTCCTGTTGGTGAAGTGTTGTGTGTGCAGTGGACACTCCAGCATGAACATGACCCACACTTGGCGCATGTCACGGTTGTGCGGCGGCATGCTGAAGTGGTCCTTGAACATGATGGCGTCCGCTGACGACAGCTCTGACCTGCTGCCCGTCAGCACACAAGTGTCCACCGGGCATTTCAGCTTGAGGAACTGCCCCCGGCGTCCTCCAGGCCCGAGTTCATGCCGTTGTACATAAGAATTTTCTTATAAGATGGAGGTGCCTTATCGGAGGCGGCGGGGTCGGGGTGGTCCTCCAGCGGGGCGGGGCGGGACGGAACATGAGCTGGTCCACAATGCGGTCTCCCGGGTCCTCGTCAGGCCACAGTCGCTCCCGCCGCACCCACTGCTCGGGGTCAACGGGCATCTCCTGCCGCAGCTCTCCGCCGTTCAGGTACCAAGGTCGTAGCCGCGGGGGCAGCGTGGTGAGAGTGACATTGGGAAGAGGTTGAGGGCGTGGAGCGGAGGGCAGCACCCTCGGGTAGGTGTCCAGGCCGGCCTGCACGTCTTCGCCAGGTCGGGAACCGCTCTGCACATCCTCGTCCACAACCTCGATGACTGGGTGGTCGACGTGGGGCGCGCGGCGCAGGGTGATCTGCGAGGGCGCGGAGGCGTTTAGCCAGGCGCCTCCAGGTTGGTTACAGACACCAGCAGCAGGAAGGTGGTGGCCGCCGACAAGTAGAGGAGCCCGCGGCGCAGTGACACCCTGGGCATCCTGCCGCCTACCGCCACCATCACCTGCACCACTGAAACAACAACAACACACCGTCAACATCATCGTCTCCATCATAGTACATCTTAACATACCTTATATACTATGAGGGGACACGGTCAAAGACATTAACTGACTTCTGGAATAAACATGAAGCCGTCTAGAAATACATATAAACCAACAATAATTCCTAGCACACGTGGCCAGGACAGGGGACCTATAACAACACACTGTACTCCACTACATAATACAACACAGGGGGAACTGTTTTAACATATGTAAAAAAAAATGAAGTTAATAATTTCTACAAGAAAAAAAAATCAAAACCTGACCCAAAAATAGAAATGTTTACGATGTCCGTCTAGGTATTTGTGTGATAAAAAAAAAATCCCTCAGTGAAGTCAGGCAGGCAAGACGTCCATAACTCAGCGACGGAATACTACCACCGGTATTGTGTATAAATATCAATACCTAAACAAGTGCCTCCAGCTATCCTCAAGCATTACCTGTTCAATGTTAGGTTAGGTTAGGTTGGATTAGGTTAGGTTAGGCTGAGGATATTTCATCAACAGCTGAAATTAAACTGGGGTGCCTAATCATCAGGTGAACAAAAAATAAACAACCCGTCATGAAATGTGTACACTACCAACTTATAAATAGTGTACAGCAAAGGCATTACCGGGCGACAGTCACGCTAAGAACAACACACACACACGATACTGCGGTCACCTGCACACACACACACACACACACACACACACACACACACACACACACACACACATGGTGAGACACAGACAAACACAACAACAGACAGACAGACAGACATAACCACAACACACACACACACACACACACACACACACACAAAACAGCAACACAACATATGCCACACAACACACAACACACACACACACACACACACACAAAGACAGAGACACAGACAGACACACACACACACACACACACACATACAGGTAACAGATTTATATAGAATTAAGTGAAATTTTATAATAAGGTCAAATTAATTCATCAAAAATACTAGTGTACATAAACAGTAACAGTAATCAATGTATGTACACAACGATACAAGGTAAACAAATGTGTGTGTGTGTGTGTGTGTGTGTGTGTGTGTGTGTGTGTGTGTATGTGTTACAATGTGATCAGTTAGTTTGTGATTGAAACGCCCAGAAACACCTCCCTCCCTCTCCCCCACTCAGTTAATCAAACTATATACCATCCTCCGTCCCTCCCATACTACTCCTCCCTCTCTCTCTCCCTCTCCACACACTCGTACCAACCCTCCTCTCCTCCCCTCCATCCCTCTCTTCCCCAATCAACACTACTCTCACCTCCTCACCTTCCACACTACCCTTCTCTACCCCTCTACATTACCCCCCCCCCTCTCTCCACACTCCTCCCCCTCCCCTCTTCCTCTCAATCCCCACACACCCTCCCTCCCTCCCTCTCCCTACCACACTCTTTCCCTCACCTCTCTCTTCCTCCTCCCCTCTCACGTTATCATCACCCACCCCTCTCATTATTGACCCAAGTACACACACACACACATCACTTAACCTAATAAAAAAACACACTGGAAAAACACCATCACAAAAACAACACGATAATATGTATTCTCTTGAATCGCTTTAGCCGGGAGGACAGATGCAACCAGCCAGTCAGAACACTTACATGAAATTACTCTCTTAAGAATTACGTACATGACAACTTCAGCTTCTGTGTGTGTGGGGGAAGGGGTGTTTCATATATACACATATTTTGTTTCTCTCTCATTTCCACACATAGATTCTCTCTCTCTCTCTCTCTCTCTCTCTCTCTCTCTCCTCTCTCTCTCTCTCTCTCTCTCTCTCTCTTCAGTCAGTCATTATATCTCAACTCTCTCCCCCTCAGTTTAATTATCTCATTATCTCCTCTCATTATCTCCTATCTCTCATAATCGACCTCATTCTCCCTCCTATCTCATTAATTACCTCATTTTGTCCCTATCTCATTTATCTCCCTTCTCTTCCTATCTCACTGTCTCTCATTCTCCCTTTTATCTCCCTTCTCTTCCTATCTCACTGTCTCTCATTCTCCCTTTATCTCCTTCTCTTCCTATCTCTTTCCTCATTCTCCCTTTTATCTCCCTTCTCTTCCTATCTCACTGTCTCTCATTCTCCCTTTTATCTCATATCTCTTCCCCTAGTGTTTCAATCCTCTCATGATTCTCAAATCTCTCGGTGTCTCGTTATCTCGTCTCTGTCTCTTAGTGTTTCCTGTCCACGGGAGAACGGACAGACGGACCAGACGGACAGACGGACAGACAGGACGGACGGACGGACGGACAAGAAGGAAGAAGGTTTCACCACATCAAAGTTGCACACACACACACACACACACACACACACACAACACACACACACACACACACACACACAACACACACACATACACACACACACACACACACACACACACACACACACACACACACACATACACACACACACACACACACACACATACCCAATCCACAAAAGAATCAATTTCTTGTCAAAGGCTCCGGTCATTCACTGAAGGAGGGGGAGGGAGAGGTGTGGGTTTTGTATGAATTAAAACATATCAAGCCACTGGTCGATATCCCAGCCTGGCCAAAAGTCTTCATCACCTTAATGACAATAGTGTGTCATCATCATCATCATCATCATCATTATCATCATCATCATCATCATCATCATCATCATCATCATCATCATCATCATCATCATCATCATCATCATCATCATCATCATCATCATCATCATCATCATCGTCACCATCGTCACCATCGTCACCGTTCGCCTCATGCTTGTAACCTTTTGAGTGTGTTGGTTGCTTTGGTCTACCGGGTGTCACAGAACGTCACAGGTTAATAATAAAAACTAACAAAAGATCTGATAATAATGAATAAATAGAGAGCAAAAAAGTCAATAAAAATGTATAAAGACTTAAGAGAATAATAATGTATATAATATGTATAAAATAAATAAAACACGAATACAAATAAAAAATAAAAAAAACAAGTGAAAAAATCGTATATAAAAATAAATAAAAAAATCGTAAAAATAAATAAAAAATATCCCACACAATTTTATTAAATTTATAAAAAGTTAAACCAATTTAAACCTTAATAAAGATATATATAAAAAAACACGCTTTTATAGGGGTGCGGTGGGCGAGTGGTTGGTGTATTCATTTCCTGTCCCACGGGTTAATGGTTCGAGCCCCTAGGAGACCCCCTCCCCCCTATCCGCAGCTGAGAATTGGTACCTAAGAGATGGTGACCTCACAGGTGGTAAAATTGCCTGGCTATGCTATTTCCAGGTGCACACAAACACCTCTTGTAATTAACTGTCTGTACCTGTAATTAACTACCTGTCACTGTAACTAACTACCTGTAGCTGTAATTAACTGCCTGTAACTGTAATTGACCACCTGTAACTGCAATTAACCACCTGTAGCTGTAATTAGCTACCTGTAACTACCAGTCAAGCACCTGTAACTACCATTTAAGTACCTATAACTACCACTCAAGCATCTGTAACTGTAACTAACCACCTGTAACTACCACTCAAGCACCCGTAACTACCACTCACGTACCTGTAACTACCACTCAAGCACCAATACTCCACTCACGTACCTATAACTACCACTCAAGCATCTGTAACTGTAACTAACCACCTGTAACTACCACTCAAGTACCTGTAACTACCACTCAAGCATCTGTAGCTGTAACTGCCACTCAAGCACCTGTAACTACCACTCAAACACCTGTAACTACCACTCAAGTACCCGTAACTATCTCAAGTACCTTTAACTACCACTCAAGCATCTGTAACTGTAACTACTCCGTTACGAACCATGGTGCATTCAGTAAGCCCAAACTGTTTCCATTGTGTTATACATTAGTTCATCTGGTACTGAGTCACCCTTGTGCGTGTGTGTGTGTGTGTGTGTGTGTGTGTGTGTGTGTGTGTGTGTGTGTGTGTGTGTGTGTGTTACAGTCGAATATAATGTTTTATTAACTTGTTGGGGAGAGGAGGAGGAGGGTGGGGGTGGAGGAATAAGGAGAAGGTGGAAAGAATGGAGGGGGAGGAACGAGATGGGGAAGGAGGAGGGATGGAGGGCGTGGTAAGGTGCTCATTGGGGGACGCAACATGTATTCATAAATATTCGAGTGTTCATCTTACCTACCCTAACCCCCCCCCTTCCCCTTACCCCTTCCCTCCTCCCTTCCTCTCCTTCCCCTCCTCCTTCCCTCCCTCAAACACAAGATTAAAAACAAACTGAGAGCTTTGTGGTGCAGCTTTTCCAATATTTATCCAACTTCTTCCCCCCTTCTCCTCCACCCTCCTCTTCTCCATCCTTCCACCCTCCTCCACCCATTCCCTTCTCGCCATTCCCCTCCTCCCTCCTCCTCCCCCCTCCCTTCTTTCCTCCTAAAAATCATTCTGTAGGAAACTTGTTAATATCGTCATTAAATCCGGACTAATTAAATAATGATGAAAGAATAGAGCATCTCCACCATTCCTCCAACACCCACCACCACCCCCCCAGCTACCTCCATCACCTATCGCCATCCCTCCATCACTACCTACCTCTCCTCCATCATTTAACACCATCACTACTCCATCTCCACCACCCATAACCCATCTCCACCACCACCCCCTCCATCATCAACACCACCACCACCAGCTTCCTCCAACACCATCACTAGCCATCTCCACCACCACCCTCCATCATCACCACCACACCCCTCCATCACCACCACCACCACCACCCCTCCATCATCACCACCACCACCACCACCAGCTTCCTCAACACCATCACTGTTCCCCACCCACCCCTCCATCATCACCACCACCACCCACCTCCATCCCCCCCTCCATCATCACCACCCACCCCCACGCCATCTCCACCACCACCACCCCTCCATCACCCACCACCACCACCCCTCCATCACACCACCAACTCCCTACCATCACTACCATCTCCCACCACCCTCCATCACCACCACCACCACCACCCCTCCATCATCACCACCACCCCTCCATCATCTCCACCACCACCACCTCCATCACCCACCACCACCCCTCCATCATCACCACCACCACCACCAGCTTCCTCCAACACCATCACTAGCCATCTCCACCACCACCACCCCTCCATCATCACCACCACCACCCACCCTCCATCATCACCACCACCACCACCCTCCATCATCACCACCACCACCTCCATCACCACCACCACCACCACCACCCTCCATCATCACCACCACCACCACCAGCTTCCTCCAACACCATCACTAGCCATCTCCCACCACCACCACCCCTCCATCATCACCACCACCACCACCCCTCCATCACCACCACCACCACCCCTCCATCAACACCACCACCACCAGCTTCCTCCAACACCATCACTAGCCATCTCCCACCACCAGCTCCCTCCTCCAGCCAAACACTCCCCCTCCATCACCCTCCCTAGAGTTTGATCCTCGCCAGGTCAGTGTAGGATCCCCTCCCTCTCTCCCCTACGGCTCCTCTTTCTCTTTCTCCCCTCCCCTTTTTACTCTCTCTCTCTCTCTCTCTCTCTCTCTCTCTCTCTCTTTCTCTCTCTCTTATCTCTCTATTCCCCCTTCCTCCTCTCTCTCTCTCTCTCTCCTCTCTCTCTCTCTCTCTCTCTCTCTCTCTCTTTCTTCTCTCTCTTCTCCTCTCTTATTCCCCCTTCTCCTCCTCTCTCTCTCTCTCTCTCTCTCTCTCTCTCTCTCTCTCTTATCCCCTTCCTCCCCTATCTCACATCCTCTCTCTCTTATCCTCTTCTCCCCTAATCTCTCATCCTCTCTCTCTCTCTCTCTCACTTTCTTTAACATATTTTTTATTATCTGTCTCGTTCTCTTTATCTCAACATCCGCAAACTATACTAGAAAAAGACCCTAGTCTGTCTATCTGTCCCCATTTCTCTCTCTCTCTCTCTCTCTCTCTCCTCTCTCTCTCTCTCTCTCTCTCTCTCTCTCTCTCTCTCTCTCTCTCTCTCTCTCTGTCTCTCTGTCTCCATTTCTCTCTATCTCTTTCTATTTGTCTGTCTCTCTCTCTCTCTCTCTATCTGTCTGTCTGTCTGTCTCTCTCTCTCTCTCTCTCTCTCTCTCTCTCTCCTCTCTCTCTCTCTCTCTCTCTCTCTCTCTGTCTGTCTGTCTCCATTTCTCTCTCTATCTCTTTCTCTCTATCTTCTGTCTCTCTGTCTCCATTTCTCTCTCTCTCTCTCTCTCTCCTCCCTCTCTCTCTCTCTCTCTCTCTCTCTCTCTCATAACAGCAGGTGTAAGGACAACTCCACAGGCTTCTGATGGTGGGTTGTGTGAGAAAAGCCGTCCACCTCCTCACTCCCTCCGCCTACCACCCTCCACCAGCCGTCTCTTGAATGAAACCTCAACCCCGCGGTCTCTATTTCCAGCCCCGCAGTCTCTATCTCCAACCCGCGGTCTATTTCAACCCCGGTCTCTATTTCCAGCCCGCGGTCTCTACCTCCAGCCCCGCGGTCTCTGCCTCCAGCCCGCGGTCTCTATCTCCCAGCCCACGGTCTCTACCTCCAGCCCCGCAGTCTCTATCTCCAGCCCCGCGGTCTCTACCTCCAGCCCGCGGTCTCTACTCCAACCCCCCGGTCTCTACCTCCAGCCCCGCGGTCTCTATCTCCAGCCCCGCAGTCTCTACCTCCAACCCTGCAGTCTCTACCTCCAACCCCGCGGTCTCTCACCTCCAACCCCGCGGTCTCTACCTCCCAACCCCGCGGTCTCCTACCTCCCACCCCGCGGTCTCTACCTCCAACCCCGCGGTCTCTACACACCCAACGTCTCTACCTCCAACCCCGTGGTCTCTACCTCCAACCCGCAGTCTTTATCTCCAGCGCGGTCTCTCCTCAACCCGCGGTCTCTACCTTTTGTGAGCTTGAAAACAGCTGTGTTCTCTACTAACGCACCAAACCTAACCAAACCTAACCTAACCATAACCCTAATCTAACCAAATCACAACCAAACCTAACCTAAGAAATCTTGTTCCAATAAAACACTCCCCTGAGACATATTAAAACACTCCTGAGACATATTAAAACCTCCCCTGAGACATATTAAAACCTCCTCTGAGACATATTAAAACACTCTGAGACATATTAAAACCCTCCCCTGAGACATATTAAAACACTCCCTGAGACATTAAAACACTCCCCTGAGACATATTAAAACACTCCCCTGAGACATATTAAAACTCTCCAGACACATTAAAACATCCCTGAGACATTAAACACTCCCCTGAGACATATTAAAACACTTCCCTGAGACATATTAAAACACTCCCCTGAGACATAGTAAAACACTCCGCTAGACATATTAAAACACTCCCTGAGACATATTAAAACACTCCCCTGAGACATATTAAAACACTCCCTGAAGACATATTAAACACTCCCCTAGGCATATTAAAACACTCTGAGACATATTAAAACACTTCCCTGAGACATATTAAAACACTCCCCTGAGACATATTAAACACTCCCTTGAGACATATTAAACACTACCCTGAGACATATTAAATCTGAGACATATTAAAACACTCCCTGAGACATATTAAAACACTCCCCCTGAGACATATTAAAACACTCCCCAGGACATATTAAAACACTCCCTGAGACATATTAAAACCTCCCTGAGACACATTAAACAACCCTTGAGACATATTAAAACACTCCCTGAGACATTAAAACCTCCCTGAGACATTTAAAAACACTCTGAGACATAGTAAAACCTCCCCTGAGACATATTAAAACACTCCCTGGGACATATTAAACACTCCCCAGACATATAAAAACACTCCCTGAGACATATTAAACCTCCCTGAGACATTAAAACACTCCCCTGAGACATATTAAAACACTCCCTAGACATATTAAAACACTCTGAGACATATTAAAACACTCCCTGAAACATATTAAAACACTCCCCTGAGACATATTAAAACACTCCCTGAGACATATTAAACCTCCCCTGAGACATATTAAAACACTCCCCTAGACATATTAAAAACCCTGAGACATTAAACCTCCCTGAGACATATTAAAACTCCCCTGAGACATATTAAAACACTCCCTGAGACATATTAAAACACTCCTTAGACATATTAAACACTACCCTGAGACATATTAAAACACTCCCTGAGACATATTAAAACACTACCTGAGACATATTAAAACACTCCCCTGAGACATTAAACACTCCCCTGAGACATATTACCCTAAATGACCGTCAATTACACCACGTCTCTTACTCCTGACGGTTAACACAGTGCTCAGGTAATGACTGTATCTATAAGTCAATATCTATAAGTCTATTTTAGCGGGTCAGGTGTGTGTGTGTGTGTGTGTGTGTGTGTGTGTGTGTGTGTGTGTGTGTGTGTGTGTCTTGTACATCTGTCTACTACACCTGTGCCTCCATCCAACACCTTCTACACACCTGTCTCCTACATCCATCGACCTCCGCCTCCATCCAACACTTTCCACACCTGTCTACACTTGTCCCCAAAACTGAGTCCACCCCTCTAAATAGTATTGACAGTCACCGCCATCTAAGTAGCACTGACAGTCATCCACCTCTAAGTAGAAATGACAGTCAGTATCTCTAAGTAGCAATGACAGTCAGCCCCTCTAAGTAGCACTGACAGTCATCCACCTCTAAGTAGAAATGACAGTCAGTATCTCTAAGTAGCAATAACAGTCAGCCCCTCTAAGTAGCAATGACAGTCAGCCCCTCTAAGTAGCAGTGACAGTCACCCCTTCGGTATTGCTGACAGTCACCCCCTTCGGTACTGCTGAGTCACCCTCTCTAAGTAGCAATGACAGTCAGCCCCTCTAAGTAGTATGACAGTCACCCCCTCTCTAAGTAGCATGACTGTCAGCCCCTTAAAGACACATTTCGTCTATAGCTCACGATACTTGGACGTGTCAGTCAATATATTAGAGGAGGGTGAGATAAAGGGAGAAAGAGGGGCGGGGAGGGAGGGTAGAGGGCAGAAGGAGGAGATGGAGAGGAGATAAAGGTGAGATAAGGGAGAGAGGGGAGGGAGGTAGGAGGAGGAGAGGGAGGTGGGTGATGGAGAGATCAACACACCCTACATTAAACAACTCTCCCAACACCCGAATAGCCCACACATACCCTCCCCACACATCCTCCACCCAACCCTCCTATACCCTCACGAGTTCCTCCTCCTCACATTCTCCCCATTCTCACTCTCTCCTCCCACACCCCCTTCCCGCCTCCACACACCACATACCATCCCTTCCCTCCCCACATTCTCCCCATTGAATCCCTCCCCTCCACCCCACCTTCCCCACATCTCCCCTCTCCCCACCCCTCCTCCCCGAAATTAACACAGTCTTTATCATGATTATATTTGCCAGCGAGGAATGTTAATACGACCCAGGTATTTATGGTAGCTTTGTCTGTCTGTCTGTCTGTCATCTCTGTCTGTCTGTCTTCTGTCTGTCTGTCTGTCTGTTCTGTCTGTCTATCTGTAAATTTTTTTTACGGGAATTAGCTCACCCGGGCTGGGGGCGAAAATGTAATAATAATAATAATAATAATAATAATAATAATAATAATAATAATAATAATAATAATAATAATAATAATAATAATAATAATAACAATAAAATAATAAATAATAATAATAATAATAATAATAATAATAATAATAATAATAATAATTATAATAATAATAAAGAACCATAAAGGAAAAAAAAAAGATCAATAGTGAGAAACAATATATGTATGTTGTGTTGTGAATAGTGAGAGAAACAATTGAGACCTGCAACTGTGTGTAAATGAGGCAGAAAGTCAGATCACCAACCTGGGACTTGGTCACATATGGCAGCAGGGCTACCATTAGACAACACATTATGCTTTCCAATATCTTCCTGGTCTCTATCAGTGTGTGTGTGTGTGTGTGTGTGTGTGTGTGTGTGTGTGTGTGTGTGTGTGTGTGTGTGTGTGTGTGTGTCTCACCTTCCGGAAGCGTCTTGTTGCGTCTTACCTGAAAAAATAAAAAGAAAAACACCATTATAATATTTTAATGATAATAAGTTCACCTGTCATATAAAGAGAGAGAGAGAGAGAGAGAGAGAGAGAGAGAGAGAGAGAGAGAGAGAGAGAGAGAGAGAGAGAGAGAGAGAGTCATCAGTCACACACTCCTTATCTTAATAACAAAATCGGGGAGAGAAGTGAATAACCCTGGTCTTGTCTCCGGTCTCCCTTAGCCCCCCTGGTGTCACCCTCCCAAACATAATCCTTGACCAATAGGAGCCTTGATTTATTATTATTATATGTATTGTGATTGGCTAATGCCGAGAACGATAGTCTGATAGGGGTTCGAGGGAGGGAGGAGGAGGAGGAGGAGGAGGAGGAGGAGGAGGAGGAGGAGGAGGAGGAGGAGGAGGAGGAGGAGGAGGAGGAGGAGGAGGAGGAGGGAGGAGGAGGAGGGAGGAGGAGGAGGAGGAGGAGGAGGAAGAAGAAGAGGAGGAGGAGGAGGAGGGGAGGAGGGGAGGAGGAGGAGGGAGGAGGAGGAGGAGGAGGAGGAGGAGGAGGAGGAGGAGGAAGAAGAGGAGGAGGTGGAGGAGGAGGAGGAAGAAGAGGAGAGGAGGAAGAAGAGGAGGAGGAGGAGGAAGTGATGGTGGACGAGGAGGTGGTGGAGGAGGAGGAGGAAGAAGAGGAGGAGGAGGTGGAGGAATTGATGGTGGAGGAGAAGAGAGAGTAAAGGACAGGGTCTATGGAACAGGTATAATTCATGCTATTTCTTTCCCTCATTCTTCTCACACCTTCTCTATCTCTCTCTTCTCAGTTCTTCACCCCATACATCTCTAACCCACACCCATTTCTCGTCTCCCCCCCCTCCCCGTCCCTGGTCACCCTCCCCGTCCCTGGTCTCTCTCCGTCCCCTGGTCTCCCCTCCGTCCCCTGGTCTCCCTCCCCGTCCCCTGGTTCCCTCCCCGTCCCCCCTGGCTCCGTCCCCTGGTCTCCCCCCTGTCTCCCTCCTCCCTGGTCACCTCCCCGTCCCCTGGTCACCCTCCCGTCATCATCATAATCATATAATAATAATAAATAATAATAACAATAATAATAATAACAACAACAACAACAACAACAACAACAACAACAACAACAACAACAACAACAACAACAAATAATAATAATAATAATATAATAATAATAATAATAATAATAATAATAATAATAATAATAATAAATAATAATAATAATAATAATCAGATATCTTTTTTTAAACATACGTCAACAAAATCAGTCCCAGAAAGGTTAGTTCACAAGAAGGTAAACTGTGACATACTCCTTGGACCATTTATCTTAGCCAACAGACGAACATTTGTGTGTGTGTGTGTGTGTGTGTGTGTGTGTGTGTGTGTGTGTGTGTGTGTGTGTGTGTGTGTGTGTGTGTGTGTGATGGGATGATGATGATGGTGATGGTGATGATGATGATGATGATGATGATGGAGAGGTGGTGGTGATTTTGATGATGGTGGAAGGAGAAGAGGGTGAGAGGAAGGTGAGAGGGAGAGGTAGAGGGAGAGAGAGAGGGAAAGAGGAGGTGAGAGGGACCAGAGATCGATACTCACGGGGAACGATGGCCACTACACCATCCTGGCCACTCTACCACTCTCTCCCCTCTCACTAGCCCCTCACTCTCACCAGCCTCTCACTCTCACCCCACTCACCAGCCACTCTCTCACCCATTCACCAGCCACTCACTCTCACCCCACTCACCAGCCACCACTCACCCACCACAGCCCTCACCTCACCCCCCACCAGCCACCACCACCCCACTCACCAGCCTCTCACTCACCCCACCCACCAGCCACCACCTCACCCCACTCACCAGCCTCCTCAC